CGGGTCGTAAACACAGGGCGCCGGGTTACGAGCGGCCCCGGGTCGTTTTTGGGAACGATACGTTTTCGACCGCGGAAGCTACCCGAAGATTTTCGGCTTGAGGACTGTCTTTCCTCTGCCCCCGCGCCGCGCCTTCTTACTAAATCGATCCAGCTCTACGAATTTGGTAGACGAATGGACCCATTCTGGGAAGCTGCGGGGCTGCCGTAAATCATGCAACGAAATCAATGGTGCGCTTCTTTAATTTAATATATATCCCTTGTAACTTAATTTAGTTTAATACGGTAAAATCTTTTGTGCTATCTTTCATCGATTAAAAAATTTTAATCACAGATTTTGTCATTTTAAATAAATGGAAACTTGGAAAAACGAAACTTTTATACTTTATCGTCTCCTGAGGAGGAATATATATAACATAATTTAGATTAAATATTAAAAAAATTTTTAAATATATCATAAGAATAAAAATTTTAAATATTTTTATACTAAACTTTAAAAATCATTTTTCAAAATATAATGTTATAGATTATGTGACACTCTCGAGACCTTGTAATTATCCAGAGATTTATAAAATTATTATAATTATTTCTGCACATTTTTTCTCACTCCGTTTAACTCAAAAAGCCGTTGCAAATTTCTCTAAGAACGAACGGCACGAATGACGCATCCATAAATCGCGCGTAATCTCCGCTTGATTCGAAGGTCGTACGATATATCGCGTCGAATTCCAATTCGTTGTCGAAATTGCCTTCAATTTAGCAATTAACGAGGGGCGGTGAGGGCTAATAGGAGGGTAGCTAGACACATCGGGCCACTTGAGTGACAGCTCTGACCTCTCCCACCAGTCTATACGCGTCTCGTACTCACCCCGAGTCGGCGGTCGAGTTCACCCACACAATTCCGCTCTTCGACTTGGGGTATTTTTAGAACGATTGGTATTACGGGCAGGTCGCGGTAATGTTGTTTTCCCATACGCACTCCAAATTGCAAAGCGCTTACCTTGAGATCGTGTTGCCTGCATGAAAATCAAATGAGCCGGTTTCTCGAACAAAGTGCTCAGCTCTAATACCTTCGAGATAACTCAGTAAATATGATTGTATATCGATCAAATATGTAAAAGATATATACGATCACTCCTGGAATCGTAAAATACTATAAAGCTCACAAAATTTGTCGAGAAAAATATTTTATAAATGTGTGCGCAAAAATGACAGCTTCCAGACTAATCCTAACTAAAGAAAAATTCTCACGAAAAGAACATATCAAAAGAAATATTCGAATAATCTGCGAACAACACAAAAGTGAGATTCGTAAGAAATTCCAACAGGAGATGAAGATGCCGAACGCGAAGGGCGCCGTTCCATCATGGCGCGAAGTGACGGTCGACGTTTCTGGTTGATTCTCCCGCGGGAGCAAGTGTCACGAGGATGATCGTTTTCGTTGGCAACAGAAAAAGGAAGGAGACAGAAGCAAGTCCTTTTTTCACGCTGGATGCTTTTATACCGGCACGAGGGCAGAGCTCAATTTTGATGACAGGTAGATGAGAGGGTAGGTAGCGAACACCCACTTGTTGCAACAATGGTCCTTTTGAGCATATTCTTTGGGAGTCTGTAGACTTCTCATCCACGGATTTCGACACTTGAAAGCAATAAATGGCCGTTAAAAATATCTGACCAGTCTGTAGAAGCACCTACTTATGCTTATTATCACATATTTATAGAAGAATAAACATCGAAATCGGTGAAGCAATCAAATTATTGACACGAAGACACGAATTAAGAAGTGATAATGTTACCAAGAAATATCATGAATAAATTTTAAAGTCGTATATTATAATACTTACTGATATTATCAACGACAAAATTAAAAAATATATAATTATGTTTCTAATAGTTTCTAAAAAATTATTGGTAAACTGTAATTACCTGTAATTTAAAACGTGTAGCATTAAGTGTAATAAGCATGATAATGTTAAACAATTTTAAATAGTTATACTAGGAAATAATAATCACAAGTAGAATAAATAATTTAGTTAATAGATATATAATGATTTATTAACTTTGCGTTTAAACTGCTAACGAGAAACTTAGAGGGTGCAATAAGATATGGTCTACATGGCTTTTCTTCAAGGTAAACGTTCATCGAACGTTGCTAAATGTACCTTGCAAAGTCAAACATTTTTCCGCCTTTGACTATTAAAGTATTCTTCCCACGGCCATTCACGTGCATGGAATAAATCTCACAAAGAAAAAAACGTCAACGGTGGTCTGAAGGCGGAGACACCTCTCTGAGGCTACCGGTGGTTCCACAGGGGGCCTTGTCGTTTCATCTTCTATCTCGGGCGCCGCTTTTGATCGCAGGTTTTTGGGAAGAATTCTACCACAAAGGGGACCGTTAACAGCGGCAACAATTCTAGTTGGAAATACCGCGGTCAGCTACCACATTTGTAACCATGACAAATTTTAAAAGTAAAACTCTAATGCGTGTAAGAAACGGCCGTTGAGTTTAACATTTGTTACGTTTCGGTGGTGGTTTCTAGTGCTAATCATCACTAAGCTGGCGCATCCTGCAGAGAGGTTACACGAATTACGATTAACAAGTACGATATTTACTGTCTCGTATATTTACAGAGACAGCGCATAGTGAGTATAAGCAGGGCGAATGTTGAGAAAATTTATTCGTAATATTCCGTCCGATTTTGATATCCATCAAAATTCGTTTGTATATTCAAAAATCTCAAATTTCAAAATATATTGAAAGAATAATTTCGTAAATTTTATCGCTTGTTTGTCAAGACATCGCGCATGAACCGCAAATCTACCATGCGACTTTGGTCTTGCTCTGAAGAATTAATTGGGATCGCATGGGCGTGTAATAAGGCAGATTTCCGCCGATGTGGAGCGGCATTAGGAGCCCCTGCGGCGTTGAATCCTATCCGTATTAAGTATCCCCTATGCGGCATCCCAATGGCTACGCGCCACCCCCGACGTCGTCGACTTCATCATCCCCGGCGCGCTCGAAGGCGGAAAACGTTACGAGCGCGACAAAGCCGCGAGTGTCTCTCGATTCGACGGCGATTCAAAGAGGGACTCGATGAAATAAACTCGGGGCCCCTCGCACACATACAGGTCGTTGGCAGAAAAAGGAAGATAAGCCCGCCTCCTCGAGGACCCTCGTGAACCCTCCTCGTGGACATGCCGGCATAATAGGCGGCGTCTTTACGATTAGCATTGTGAGTTTCTCGATGAATGTGATTGTTGTCTAAGCGGGGCCCTCTCCGTCCCGTGTATCGCCGGCCGCTGTGACGACGGGGCCCCGTGAGGCCCATGAGACCCGCTATATAGGGTCCCGTATGGCCTCGTGCTGGGCCCACAATGCGCGCAGCTATGCGAAGCACGCGTCCCTTGTGTTGCGTGAGCGTGCGCGTCCTGCGTGCCTATATTTATAATGCATTATTTACAACTGCGAAACCTCCAAAGATTCGTCTCTTTCTCCCCCCCCCTCTATTCGGACTGGTCTTCTCCCTCCCCCATACCTGCCTTCATACCGTCCGTTGTCCTCTCGCTCCTTCCCTCTCCTCGTCTCTCTCTCTCTCTCTCTCTCTCTCTCTCTCTCTCTCTCTCTCTCTCTCTCTCTCTCTCTCTCTCTCTCTCTCTCTCTCTCTCTCTCTCTCTCTCTCTCTCTCTTTCTGTCTCTCGGCCAGCGTCACGGTTTCTTTTATACGAGCGTCGCAGTTGACCGACACAGCATTGTGCCCCTTCGTCTCACTCTTTATTCCTTTTATCTCTTTTATCCGAACCCTTCTTCGCACCTCCGTGTTCTCGCATTAACCTCGCGCTTCTCTTTTGTTCCTGTAATCGATACACGGTAAACGGGTACGGGTAAACGAGCGTGACGATTGAGTTCCGAAAAAGATTTAATGTAACTTATTTTTATTCCAATTTTATATTAATTTATGCGTACAATTTTATTTTAAGCATTATTTTATTTTATAATATTAACAAATACGAGGTGGAAAGCGAGAAGGGAGAAGAAAATTATTCTCTTTGCTCTTTGAATGTCCAGTAAAAACGTGCTACGTATTCAAAGGAACGTTTAGAAATGTTGTAAGACACTTTTATATTCTTCCATGTTACATAAAAGGAATAAAAGAATAGTGAAGTATCTTAATACAGAGATGATTTATAATAATTACACGTTGTCCAATGCGAAATGTTATCATCATTTACAGCTAACTCTTAGCATTTGTCTTATTTTCTCTGGCCTTTCAACCCTTCCCTTTCAAAAGGGCAGCCCTATCGCCCTACTCTGCTTTGTGGCTCAAGCCGTTCTCACTGTTCCTCTTCTGTTCCCTCTCCTCATCTATCGTCCACACGTGCCCGATTTAACATGGTGCTTCGCCATCGCGTATCCCTTGAGACTCATCTTTAAATTCTCTTGCATGGCTGATGCAGATCGCGTCCCCGCGATTCGATTAAGACAATTTGTGTTGAGACACGCTATATTAAGGAACACGATGCCGCGATGTGACCGATCAATCTTCGAGAAAATCTTATCTCGCGACCCATCCGACCCCACCAACACCTTTTCGCCTTTCCCGCCACGTCGAACTGCGGAAACTTCGGAAAATATTGTATTACCTGAAGCTAAACTGCTCGTTGGCAGTAGATTAAGACAGATACTGTAATAGGCTTTTAAAACATTTTACGCTTATCTGGATTTCTGCAGTCGCTTCTTCAATAATCGCGGAAATCTTCCCACTTCTTCAAAAGTCGTTTAGATTACGGTGAATGAAACATAATGCGTTTATATATTTCCGCTTCTTGCTTTCCGATAAGCTAAGAACACGGTCTCAATAAAATTATTATGTTTATATGCGTTTATTCAATTATTGCAAATAAGTTAACAGGTGATAAATTAATAAATAATTTGAGTTGAGTATTATTCATAATTTTTTATTTTTTTCCAACATGTACACGTGTAAGCTTATATTCAGATAACTATAATTCAGATAACTTTTCTTTTTTGCATTCACGAAAGAAAGGAGGCTTTTCTCAACTTGATGAAAATCTAACGTTTTTATAATTTCATGAAGTTCACGGGTTCTGTAATGACAATTTCTCGAACAGATTTAATAACAATTCCAAGAAGAGAACAGTCCTCGTATCTACCGCTTGGATGCTGCACGTGACTAGTGAGGAAGAAAATAAATAAGGTTCTTGACGTTTTACGGTTAATTGTCGCTATGCAGAGACGGCAGTTTAAGGTGACCAACAAACACGGGAATGCCCCAGAACGAGGAAAAGAGAGATAGAACTCGGGATAACGGGAGGCAGAAGAAAAGGAGCGAAAATGAGCGAACTCGGAGTGGGTGGCCGTCGCCTCAGATCCTAATCTTCTGGTTTACGAGATCTTGGTCTTCCTTCCTTCCCAAGAGATCTCACCGTGTATGAATCCCTTGCAACATTGCACTTCACTGATTTTCGGTCTCCTCTTAGATGCTAGCTTTCCTTGCTACTTTATCTCTGATAAAATAGGGGTTTTCTATTTTTGCTCCTTGTTTGTTCCCACGCAATTCAATAATTTTTTTTTTATTTATTGTAGATTTATTAACAAATCAGATTAATAAAACACTAACAATTTCTAAGAACGCTCGATAAAAGTGACTTATTTTACGTCTTCACGAACGCATTAATCCCTGTCGCTTTACGTGTATATTTTGCTTATCCTTTTTCGCGTTACTCTCGCGAAATAACGAGCCGGGAAAAGACGGCCTGTTACGTGCATCGTCGAAAGAAAGTAAAAAGCGTGAGGAGGTGGGAACCAGTACATCCTCGAAGGATATTTGTGCCGAAAGCAGTATGAACAGCAGATTGACGGGGGACCACCCGGGCCCAGAATGGCGCTCTCGCGTGGATCTCGAACGGCGACAATCCTCTTCCTCGTCTCGCCCTTTCTTCACTCCCTCGCGTTCCCCTCTTGCCTCTACAGGGTGTCCCAAGGGAAATACAAACATTTTATTCCTGATTTCACGCAGCAATTTCTATTTCAGCTAATTTTAATGATTAAAAGTTATAAAATACCATTGATATTTTTCTTAATATGAAATTAACTTGTTCTAATATTTAATTTAAAACGTCTGTCCTTTCAATATCTCAATTTTAAATAATTTCTTTTAAATTTCTGTATTACTTTCTGTATTAATTTCTGTATTACTTTCACTTTGTTTATTATATTTTTCTATTGTGAGTTGTTTTTATTTTTGAAATGAATCTTGTAAATTTCCGTTAATTTTCTTTCTGTTATTATAAATATCTCTATATTGTTGTTTAGAAGATAAATCTACGTCAAATTAATCCTGAAATTTGTATGTGAAAGGAAATACGGAAAAACTCTGAACACCCTGTATACATACGTTTTTGCTCTCCAACGCCATCATTGTCGATGCAGAAACGTGTGCTCTTTGTTAACGCGCCGATGCGACGGAGTCAACGGCTGTCCCTCTACTCGTGCCATCGGTAGATCTGGTTTTCGCATAAACGCCTCTTTTGTGCAGGTCGCGATCTGGTTGTGGCATAAACCGACGTCACGCTACCTCATCGTTATTCGCAGCCATGCCGACTGCTAAAATACCAACAAAATCGCATTACGAATATTAATCCTCGTGGCTGTCGCGTGTATTTTGTCTTTATCTTGTCATCGTGTGCTCTTTTCTATATAAGTGTATGCACATAAACACGTACATGCATACATATGTAAGAGAAATATATGTATATAGAAAAAAATATATATGCAACATTCAACATATTCTATATTTATTAATATTATCATCAACGTCATCTCGTCGCAATAAGTGGGCTGTCCGATTGCGTATCCCGCGAAACGCATCTCGACGAGGGAAAGGAACATGTCAAGCGGGGGGTGGGGGGGGGAGGGAGACGGTAAGGCGGTAAGGCGGCCGGAACCAGTTCGTCAAATTTTCAGCCCAATCAACTGGATAACGATAAAACGTCAAGGACGTCACCGGTGGTCCACCGTTCTCGATCCTCTCTCCCTCCCCCCGTCTCTCACCCTTTTTACATCCTCCGACTCTTCCCTTCTTCGGTCCATTGATGCACCTCGTTCAGGGGACCGATCCTCTTCCTTCTTCTCTTCTCGTGATCGCGCGGATCATCGAGAGGGAAAAATGAGAAAAAAAAAGAACGGCAGCACCGTTCGCGATCCTTCGGATATTCCTTACGCCTCGTTGCAGCGAGGTATCCGCAGCCTCCGGAACGACCAAAAATTATCCCGGCTATGCAGAAAACATACTATCCGTTTCCCCGTTCGCCGTCGTCGTTGTCGTTGTCGTCGTCATCGTCGTCGTCGTCGTTGTCGTCGTCGTCGTCGTCGTCATCGCACGTGTGGTCCCGCCGGCGTAGATCTAGTCTCTTGTCACGGATATACACTCTCTTCCTTCCCCCTCCCCTCCCCGTCTCCTCCTTTCGTCCATCCCTTCTTCTTCGTCCCTCTCGTTCTCTCGCCACGCTTCTTCCTTCGACTCCTCTCATTTTCTCTCCACCTCGTCCGCGCCCATGTTATCTCGTATTCTTCCGATGTTCCTACCCCGTGTTTCGTCCTGACGCTCGGGTTAGCTTCGAGAAATCGCGTGGGCAGGTAATCGAGTAGGGCCCTCGCGAGAATTTAAGATCATCGTATCCACGTTCCGTGCGTTTAGGGTCCCTTTCGCCGCGAGATTAAGCCTCGATTTCTCGCCGCCCTCGGAGAGGGTAGACGCACATCGTTTCCCCGCCGCTGTGCCGGCGATGCGGGGCTAACGGCGGATATGTTACTTTCCTGAATTCGTGCGGTGTGGCAACAATGAAAGGCACGCGTGTGGAAGGGTAAATGGCAGCGACGACGTCGTCGGCGGGCCGCGCGCGCACGCCGACGTCATCGCTTATTTCGGTAAAATACCGTGACGTCGCGCCGTTTTTCGCCGCGGCGCGCTGCCAAGAAACCTAAGTCCGGTGCGTTCGTATTCCTTAATCCTGGTGAAAGCACTATGAAAATCGAACTGATATCAAAGATCGTCCTTAAGAGGTTTCTTAAGAGGATCGCATTATATTTCTATAAACAGCCTTATTTCTTTCGCGTCATTTCGAATACATAAATGTGCAATTCTATTTGTGCGTATGTGTGTTTTCCTTCATATTTAATTGACATTAATGTTAAACACGCTAGATAACATGTTATCATGTCAGATTATTACAACAATCAATATATATATAAAAAGACATTAACAGACATTAACATTTCGCTGCACACTTCTTCGCGTATACATTATTACATCGTATATATATATATATATATATATTTACATCTCACTTCCGTTCAACTTTTACACTCTCAAACTCGTCATATTTGGTGATCCCGAAAGGAAAGGGAACAGACGGGGGAAGAAAGGGAATCCCGTCTCTCGGAGCCGAAGCCCTCTCTTCTCTTTTCAGGGGGATTACAGGTTTGCGGAGAGATCAACATCTGATTTTTTGGTTCTGATCGGATGGACGGACAGACGAGACCGGACCGGACGGTTCCCACACGTCGCTTAATTGATCGATTCGAAAATCTTGGTGATCACCTCGAGGATCTGCTGGAGCATTTACCGTAGATCGTGTCCAGATCTCTTCCCCGTAAGTCTTTACTTCAAATTCTCAGGAGTATAATAAATTCCTTCTTCGTCTAACCGCCTCTTCCTCGCTCGTACTCGTTCGGTCTTCGCACTCGCCTCTCTCTTTCTCTCTCCTTCTTGACTCACGTCACTTTTCTCCCTCCTCCCCCACAGCACCGATTTCGATCCTCAATCTATAATCGTGGGCGGAAGGGAGAAGGAAGAAAGAAGACGAAGAATGAAGCGAGAACGCGAGGCGACAGAGTTAGTCGCCCGAATATTTCTTAAGATTATGACGTCAGGCTGCCAGTTAGTCCAGACTTACCGGTGTAATCCGTCGTAATGCTTCCCCGTCGTGATTTCCTTCGTTGAACCGAAGTCCATCCTTTTTATTTTAATAACCGACGCTAAATACCCATTGAATACGGTTATCCTCACATTTGCATCGCCGATCGCGAAATGGCTTCATCGTGAAACAAATCTGCTGATACAAAATATACATAACTGATCCATTTAAACAATCCTGTCGATTTTTTTTAACATGTGTCGCAAATTAATAATTAAAAAATAATTATAGCGCAATTTATATTAATATACCAGTTACAAATAAATGCTTATTTAAAACTTTGCAAAAGTTAAAAAAAAACTTAGATGTAAGTTGCTTTCTGTGCATTCGTTTAAACTTGTTAAAGAGAAACGTTTCAAGAGTGTGTTCAACGGAATGTTCACAAAATTATATCAACACTCAGAAAGAAATCTATTTTCATACGGACGGCAGAAGGCATTTCACCAAGTTCACGGTTCTTCCGCGCGTAACCGACGAGAATCGCGAAACTCGTCTCGCGCGGGGGGAGGGGGGGGGGAGGGAGGGGGAAACGATTGAAAGCGATGCGGGTCGTCTTCGGTGCGGCACGAAGAGAAATGTCTTGATCGCGTGGAAGGCTCGTTAATAACGTTCCCTCAATGCGCTATAAACGCCGAGCGTCGTACGGCACGATTGACCGGTCGGTCGGTCCGTCGCGGACGAGCAGATAATCGAATTCAGAAAGGGGGAGACGGGAGAGGGGAGGAGGGGAAACGCGCGGAGGGTTTCGCCATCCGTAAGCGTTCCACGCTGCGTACAAAGGAAGAGCTTCACGAGCCATTGAAGGAGTCGTAAACGGAAAGTTTAGCGTCCGCGGAAGACTTTACCCCGGCCGGTTAAACCGGAGACTCGATAAATTACGAATCTTTTGTCACCGCTAACGACCGCGCGACAGTTAACTGCGCGCCGGAAAAATATTAGCGATAAATTTTGCCTGTTGATTTAGTGCCGCCGTTTCTAGCTCGTCACTGCGCGCGACGCGCCGGTTACGCGAACCTCGCGCGCCTCGTCGTCTCGTAATGCGAACGCGTATCCCCGGTTCATCATTCGCGCATATCGTCTGGATTTACGGCACGAATAAGTTAACTGTCCGTGGGACAAGTCTCGCGCCATAATTATTCTGTTACTTAACGCGCGCATCCTGACTGTAACTAAAATTAATAACTTATTAGCGTAATATCTTGATAGTCGTAGAATTCGTTAGGCTTGTAATATACGCATCCGTGAATGGAATAACGTAATATGATCGCGTCGGTAACAACTTTTTATTTTCTACAATGTATAATACTTTTCGATTTTCCAATCTTTCAGATTTTCTAATCACGTGTTATTTACAAGATAATAGTATTCGGTTTTTTAAATTTTTGATGAAATTTTTGATCTCTAGAAAATTATACATTGCTCTAATGCATTGCTTTTTATGATCTATTGTCTTGTTATTTCATATTTTTCAAAAAAAGCAAAGTCAATCATGTTTACTCTTAATAATCATTAAGTGCAACTTTTCCATAGCAACTTTCTCTATCAGTTAAGTATCTTCAATACTTCAGTTAAGTGAACAGCTTTCTTCATTTTTTTCAAGATTCACATTTTGGATAACGAGACGTCTTGCGAGCAAATATACGATTACTTGATGCGAAAGCAAAAAACGTGCCGAAGTATTCCCGTTGATATGCAAAGAATTTTGTATCGGTATATGTGTAACGTACAGTCTGGCTCAAAGAAGAAATCGGGGGTCCTCGTGCAGTCGGCGCGTTTCGTGGATGCGAGCGGAAAGAAGCGAAAGAAGCAGAAGAGAGAGGCACACAGGCGAAAGAAGGGAAGGGAACGAGGAGGAGAGAAGGAAGAAGGTGAAGAAGACGAGGGCTTCGTGGAGAAGGATTTTCGCGTGGGTGTCGCTCGGTGGGCGTCGCGTCTGCCTCGTCGAGAGTGCGGCTGACCTCTGACCTCCTCCTCAAGCGCTTCCACTCCTTTCCTCTGCCCCCATCCTTCTCCCCCGTTCCCAGCCGCCCCTGCCGCCCCGCGCGCGACCGGGCTCTCCTTACGCTCGGGCTTCTCTCGCATGCAGATGCTAACTCGCGTGTACATACGTACGTACGCATGCGCGCGCGCGCGCGCGCGCTCGCGTGAGGCAGAAAGCAAGAGGCAAGAGGGCAAGGCGGAAAGATAGGGAAAGAAAAGGAGAGCCGGCACACCGAGGGAGAATCACGCGTGCAATTATCCTACGCGTGCGTGGGCGACCCCTTCCCACCTCCTGCCCCCTCCCTCCTCCCGCGTCTTCTTCCATCTACTCCTCCCTCGCCACCCCCGCCGCCCCCGTCGGCGTCCACCTTCTAGTCTCTTGTCTCGCACGATTTTCATCTATCTTCCTCCCTCGGAGGCGACGTTCCAGCCGGAACGTCGAACGAGCCCCCTCCCTGCTTGCCTCACCGTCGTTGCGTAATCAGAATTTTCTTCGCTCAAATGACCCTTGATCTCCCCTCGGCTTCGAAAGATCCCACAGATGACGACCGTGGGGCGCGAATGCCTTTCCACCACCACCACTGTCGCGAAATGGTAGCGTGCAAAAAATCGCAACCCCGATATTTGGCCGTATACGTCGCGTCGTATAATTTAATCCCGAAAGTTTTATAACAGTTAATGTTCGGTCTCGCGTCCGTAAAACACGCTGTTGTGGACCAAGCTGTCGAAGTAACGGGAAGGAACGGGAGGAATATATAGATACGCTATAAGCTGAGAAATCAAATTAATTATACAATGTGCAGCGGATAGATTAAAGTGCTCGGAGATGTCGCGCCTAAATTGATCATGTAGTCTGCTATCTACAATGCTACCAAACTTTTACATCCTACACGTACGCGTGCACGCACGCACACGTGTAAAGAAAGAAGTTTCAAAAGTTGTTGAATATTAATACGTCGGTATCTTAATTTTAAATTACATAACGCGAATCTGATTTCATTGGAACCAAGTGTCCCAGGTAACAAGTCGGCCTCGAGGCCTATGCACGACTGTATCTCTTCCGAATTTTATTCAAATCTCATCACCCGATTATCCCGATTAATTGTCACTTAATTCTATTCCGATACACCGGGGGGGGGGGGGACAGTGATATTCGCGCGGCCGTAAAAAAAAATGCCACGTTCGCGTTCTATGGTGTTTTAAACTGATGACATGCCGAGGAACGCGCGTCGCCCACGGCGATATTCGCGCAACGTGCGCGATGTCAAGTCGCAGAGCCATGGAATCTTCTCTGTAATTAACGTATCGACCACGTGTGGGATACGTGCGAATAATCGTAATGACAGCTACGCTCGCTATCCTCGCACGGCGGTTCACGCCGGTTCACGACGGTTTCCCATCCCGGACGGTGACCCACTTTTTGGCAGCTCGGATTAGACCTGCAATTTGCCCGATGTAAAAAACAATCGTGCACGGCGCGGGCATGATTAATGGCGAAGCTATCGTAGCCCGAGCAAAACGAACGGTAATTGATTCCGCGAACCGTTGCACCTTGCATTTTTACCACGCCACGTCATGGGAAATGATATTTTTGAATTTGGATAAACCCGGCGGAATGGGAAAAAGGCGATCCTTTATAAATTACAAGGAAAACAAGATCAATTGCCATTATGAATCATTCTGTATTGTGCAGTGTCGTAGAGATTAAATCTATCGTAGTTGTTCACGTAATTGCCGAGTGAAAGAAACAACACGAGTCTAAATGTAAGTATTCAACAAGATATTGAAACAATTCGCGCGATGATAATAAGGTTTTTCATTAAATTTCAAGTAAATTTTCTCCAAATAAAAATGTTTAACATAAATCTTGTTTTAACGAGGGGCTTATATGCTAACTAATATAGGAACGAATGGCAATCAAATCTCGTAGCTAAACGAAAACGTAAGGAGGTACTATCTCTAAGAAATAATTTTAATTTACACAACGCTATTTATACGTGTATAATGCGCGCAAAGTATAGCGCATCACCGCACGTCGCACGTCTCTCACGGCACGCTTCTTAGCTCGGGGGGATTATTCACGTGCGTCCACCCGAGCTCTTCATTATCGGAATTGGCCGGGCGATTTCCGAGGCGATACGAACAAAGCGCGCATTCTTTTTACCTGTTAGACGGCATACGCCACGGAATCCCAAGAGAAGTCGGAGGTGTCAAGACGAATTGGATACACGGATGGAGCCGATGCGCGAGGCTCGTCGGGTCAATTAACCGAGTCCGTGAGATATATTAGCCACCCTGCGGTCCGTTCGGCGTGCATCTCGACACTTTATTTACGAGGGGTTGCCACGTCCGTCGCGTCTAGCGCGGCGGACGAGGGGAGGGGGGGAGGAGAGAGAGAGAGACGAGGAGGGAGGGGAGGGGAGGAGGATAACGCTCGACGCCCCTGCAATCTCGGCCAATCTCGGATCTCTTCACGCTTCCGGAAGCTGTCCGTATCCCACGGGTCCCGACAGCGTGTTCCACCGACCACCGGCAAAAGACCACGGCAACACACTATCCCGAATAGTCTCGGAGTGGATTCCTGATCTCTCTGTGGTTGACAGGCGTGTCCGCTCCTCGAGGATAACAGACACGACCGGTCGAGGAGGAACGCGTCAATGAGAGATCTCGCCTCGAGATAACGAAATCAGCAGACCGCGGTTGTCGCATGACTGATCAATGTTTACGGAGCCGTCGGGAAACATCCACGCGCGCTTCCCGCTGGATCGATAATCTTCGTATTTAATAATTATACGTTGTATTAAATGTATTAAATGTATGATTAATAAATATGACCCAGGTGCGCGCACGCGCGCGATTTCCTGACCCTCCGAGAGGACATATTTTTCGCAATAAGAAAGAAAGTAGTATAGGGAAAATGAGGAGGATATAGTCGATTTTCAGACTTAATTATCGAATTTTACGAATATAGCTTTGGCCTACGTTGAACACGCCTGTTAATGGTTAATAGTAATGGCGCGTAGTTTGCGACAGAAGTAGAATTGTTAAATTGTCTGAATTTATATATACATAAATTTCATTAAGAAAAATGAAAAATTATTAGGACAGTTAGGATAATTATAATATAGAATAATTAGGAATTAGCTAAGATTTAATCCCGCCGAGCGATGTCATCTATTTGAAACTCGCTTTATTATATTACTTAATAAATATAATATATTCATCGTAAAAGTAACAAATTTAAAATTTTGAAAATTATAATAAAATAATAGGATGATGATATTAGTAATCTAGATTTTTCTCAATAGAATCAATATACGCTGAAGGAGATTTCTGTTTACTCACACAAGGAAAGAGCTTAAAAAAGAAATCAAATATTACCGACCTATAATTTTTATATAAAATTAAAATACGGAATGTGCAAAGTAGATCTTTAATTGAGAAAAAAAAAATTAAAGCACGGGATTCGTCCGATGATAAAAAAAGGCAGGGCGGGAGAAGATTTTAAATTTAATATTATCTCAATCGCGAGCGTTATTAACGACAACGCGAATTGTAATATCGGCGTTAAACGAATGCCACCGTGGTACGCGCCGTCGTGTAAATGTGGAATACAGTATTACTTTGTCGTCGATCGAAACAACCGACGGAGATACCGATAGAGATAAGATACCCCCGATGCCTCGGATGCTTTACTCATCCTCCTCATCTCTACTCGGAGTCTCGCCGATGCCAGCTCGTGCCGGAGAGGAGCCTCTTAAGAAGGGTGAGAAGTGTCACCAGATTTTATGCCGCATAGGAGGCCGCTTAGGAGAGGCCGCGACCCGGGAGGGAGGGGGAAACAAGAACCTAACGCCGATGAAAGAAGAAAGACGAAATGATCGTGAGAGGATAAGGGGAAAGGGGGGGTAGGAGCGGCGCGGGGGGGGAGATACCGGAGGGGAAGGAGGGAGATCTCTCAATGGAGATAGGCCTACGACGGTCCCGAACGAAGCTTTTGGCTGTCGTGCGAAGGTTTCGTGAGAGTAATTTGTCGTGCGACCACCTCCGGGAATGTTTAAATGAATTACTCGGGGTGGGCCCCGAGACCACGAGCGTTCGGGAACTTTTATCGGCGCGACATCTTGTATGAGAATGCGGGCCCAACAGGAATAAGAGGCGAACCGAAACCACGGCGGAAAGGAGAGAAAAGGAAGGACCTCTTTCTCGGGAGGAGGCGAGACGGCCGGGAATCGACTTACCTCCCAGTTGGTTTATTGCTCAATCCGCGTTCACGGCTAATGGATTCGTCTTCGGGGCCGATGCATGCGTACCTACGACACGAATCGGCCAGCACCTGCATCGTTTCACAGTCTCGTTTCTTCTTCTTCTTCTCCGTCTCTTTCTCGCGCGGTCTTCCCTAGCTCTCGCACTTATGCGCACTCACTCGTAGTCGTTTCCATTCGTTGTTCTAATCACGCACTCAAACAATATCGGTGAATCAATTATGGAAATAGAAATAAAATCCGACGACATGTATCAAGACGAAACGAAATTAAGATCGAGATCTCTGACATATAAAATGACCATTCGCAATTTTCACGATTACTTGGTAGGTATATATATATATATATATACCTAAGTTTTAAATTGTCTTATTTTTAATTATATTTGTTTCAAGCTTTTCTACCCACATTAACACCTTCGAATTATCGTGTTAAATTCTGTAGCCATAATCGTTTAAAGCTGCTATAAAGAAAGACACTATGTTTCGCAAGTCCTATAAAAAAAATTACACTTAATTCAAATATACAGAATTATGTCGTTTTATATCGTTGAAATGTTCAAGATTCGAAATCATTAAAGAATCCGAAGTGATATTTGATTTGAATATCTTGTCTGAATTTCCGAGCTTTAAATTATCACATGAGATGAAATATAATTAATTAAAAAAAAAAAAAAATTATATATATGTATATATGCACGAAAGAAAAATAAGAAAAAATAAACAAATATGAAACAAAAAAGACTTTCTACGGAATGCTACTCGCAATCAGAATCATTGAATGTCGCGATGGTCGTTCACTCTCCGCGGAATCGAATATCTTTGCCTGCTAAATTTACATTATTGCCAACACGGATTTTCAGGGATTCGCCGAACAACGGTGGGTCGACTCGCAATACCGGTGGATGGTTTCTCAAGGTGCGGATGGTCGCGAATCATCATTGCGATAACGGATGGCCATCATGCCGTTTACAACGTGTGTCCGAGGATCGCGTACCTATCTGTACCGTGTTACCTATATGCAGTAAAGTTTATCTCGCGACTCCGGCCACCGACCACCATGGGTTTTACCTGCGGCTCTATACCTGCCCGTGTTTATACGTACCTAACACCCGGGGACCGTCGGAAAGACAGGGCGAGTAAGAGAGAGAGAGAGAGAGAGAGAGCGAACGAGGGTGAGAAAGGGATGGTGGGCAGATAGAGCACGAGCCGGTACCACACCTTCTTCCTCGGGTGAGTAGAATTCAGCTCGCGGTTAGCACCAGTGGACCAGCCAATGATTTACCCAATTTTACGATTCCCCGAGCGGTTCGTTTCGAGCCGAGTCACCGCGCGATTTTGGTCTAAGAATCGCCTTTAAACGGAAATGTTCCTGGCGCGAGGCAAAAAAAGTAAAAGAGAATAAATTTTCTCGACTCGACGACGATTAATGTCTACGGTAGCTATTGATATTTCTTTACCGATGCCGAGGAACGAAATAAAGAACGTGGGTATACCTCGTCGCGTCTGCATTCCTGCATCTACATTGGACGGAAGCCAATGCAGATGTGATTCATGCGAGATACCTCCTAGACAAAATACGCGATATAAAATTCCAAGCGTTCCGTTATCAAGAAGCTATATAAAATTGGCAAGTTGCAAATTAGATAAAGGTAAAAAAATAAGTAATTCGCAAAAAATTTCACTATAACGAATTAAAATTAATAAAAAGAAAACGATATATATGATAATTTAATAATTAACATTTGCTTGACTTTTTACATTCCACATACAAATTCCACATACAATTTCACTCAACTACTATTTTCTAATGTACAACATTTTTATCATAACAATAGGGCAAATGAGAAGAATAATATTTTTTAATTTATCAATAATCATCGTGCCATATGCATTCTGAATGTTTCCATGAGTTAAATGACATGTTCTTCATGATTACCCATCGTGAGAGGAAGCCGTTTACGCGGCTTTCATACGGTTGTCCACCGCGTGTACGCGATATTGCTGACGAACGGAGGAAGAAACGTATCGAACCGGTTCGTAACTAAAATAGAGGATGATTTCTCCTCCTCTCTGTCCTCTTCTCGTCTCCCCTCCTTCTCTCGCTCTTTCTCGCAAACCGATTTCTTCTCTCGTTTCTCCGCGACGTATGTAACGGTGGTGGTACGTTCGCTGGTGCGGTGTTGTGACGACGCGACTGGTACCTATATGGTAATAATGTGACATGGATGTCGGTCGCGCGTCGTCGGCTCGCACCAGGAGGCCTTATCTTACGGTGAAGGGGGCCCCCATCCACGGGGGCCCCCTGTGAAGCCTATGCGGAGAGGGCCTCGGGTCTGGCACGCGGCACACCCCCATATGCACGGCGCTCGACTCCGCGGGATTCCTGCGGGATTCTTCCACTGTTCCCTTTCGCTCGCCCCCATCTTCCTACGGCGCCGTATCCGCGCCTCAATATCGACTTCTTTCCGCCGAGACGGATCGCTAGTCAGCATCAGAAATTAGAAGTTTCAATACTTTCCTTCTGACAAAGTGTGACAAAGGTAAAGTCTGAAATTTATCAAAGATTCGATTTAGTTTTTTCTAGTTAAAAATAGCCGGTAGACGATTGTTGTATCGATTCTTTCAACTTGGCACTCATTAATATCCGTTCAATAATAAGTAGAATCTTTATTCAAAATGAAAAAATGGCAATTCCTACAAAATGAATTTGTTATGTGAAAAGTTAACCTAAAAGTTAAAAGTTTAACTTAAAAATATTAAAAGAAAGCAGTAGAAATCAATTTTTATAAAAATTTTTGTATTGTCTCTTCTTCTTGATTATTATTTAATCAATAAATAATTAGCAAAAAAATTGTGTTTGAATTAAATGAAGATATTTGCGGAAGAATCTTTACATCTTCTGTCGTGCAGTCATTTATATCGCTGCACGTTCTTACATACAACATTTCGTAAATTAATA